AATAATAATAATAATAATAATAATAATAATAATAATAATAATAATAATAATAATAAAAAGGATTTATAATGCACCTTGCCTAGCATTTGGTTATAAGTGCCAGCATAGACCGTATAATTAAAAATAAGTAGTAGCAAATTGTTTTGTATCTTTAGAATAGATTGGATACTTAAAGGATTAAATAATCATATTAATGAGCATCTAATTTTACTTAAATGGATTTAAATTCTGCAGAGATGCTGAGTTTAACGTGAATGCTTGTAATTCAGGATTTCACCAAGTTACTCTGGTTAGGCAAATCCACATTTGAGCTTATTCAGCTTTGGCAATAGTTGTTATAATGGCTAAACAATACCCACCCTTCCTAATTAAAAGAACAACTACAAGTATCTAGGAATATAAAGATACTAGGTAACAGATTATTAAGAATATTTTTTTTAAAAAAACTATATTTTTGTCTGAGCAAAGGCTTTGACCTTAATTCCCAATCAAGAAGCTCTGTGGGTAACTTTTATTCATAATTGGTCATCAAAAGGATAAAATGGGGAAATGAATCAGTGGAACTTTATACTGTATCATGAGATGTTGAGGCATGTTGGGAGATAATATTGAGTTTTATATTTATTCTTATCCCATTTTGGTCTCCTTTGTGGTCAGTATACAGTTAATTAAAACAGTGATTATTTCATTGTTGGCAAAGTAGCAGAAACATTTGAGATCAGGTTGTCTCTTTGAACTTTTTAAATATTAACTTTCTTTCACATAAGCATTTCTGGAATGATTCCCATTATAGAAGAAAATCACACAAATCGTTTATTAAAGGAAGGAAAGATTACTAATTGCTTGATGACTTCTAGCTCCTGAACTTGATGGATTACTGGAAAGTTTCATTTCAATAAACCTTATGATGTTCAGTGACAGGAATTGGAAGGTTTAACCAAACAATGTTAATGTATCAAATGTATTAAATCGCTCAGGGCTGGGATCCTACCAGTTCAGTCCGGTTCTATAGAACCGGTAGCTCTGAAGAGCGGCTGACATCGAACCGGTTCTCTGGGATGAGGTTTTGGTCTGCTGTTTGGCCCTCCTGCCCACCCAGGCTCTAGGCCAGGGGTGGGCAAACTACGGCCCGCGGGCCACATCCGGCCCGTTGGTCTTTTTAATCCGGCCCGCCGAAGATTGGTACAGAATTAAGGTTTGATATGAATGATTGAATGATTGCATTCATTTGATTTTGACTTGTAATGACAGGCATTTCGACACCAGGTGGTGGCCCGTCTGTCAAATTTTAAAAGTCAATGAGGCCCCCGAGCCAAAAAGTTTGCCCACCCCTGCTCTAGGCTGTCCTTTAGTGGCTGCGTTTTCCTCCTCAGCTGCTTTGCGCGGCATATTTGAGTGCCGCTCATCAACTGGAGAAGGTAAATGCTTGCCGGAGCTGGTAGCACACATGTGCGTACAGCGTGCGTTTGACATGCATGCGCGCGCTCTCCAAACCAATTGTTATGCCAGTCGGATCCCACCCCTGAAATCGCTTATCATTTGCAACCAGTATTTGAAGAAAAGTTAATTTGTAGCACTATATAATGCTTCACAATGAAATCCTGGATAGACTAATCAGGGTTTTTTTTCATTTGTTTTTCAATGATTTCTAAGGCTTTGCTTACCTATGCCTATCGATGTGGTGTATACCTGGGTAAATGGCACAGATGTTGAATTGATCAAGGAACTGCAACAGGTGAGGAAACAGATGGAAGAAGAACAGAGAACAATAAGGTATGGATTTTGTTCTTTGTGAAACCGTAAAAAGAAAATAGTTGTTTTCTAATGAGGCACTTTTGTTTAGAACGGGGTCCCCAAACTCGGCAACTTTAAGACTTGTGGACTTCAACTCTCAGAATTCTGGGAGTTGAGGTCCACAAGTCTTAAAGTTGCCAAGTTTGGAGACCTTTGGTTTAGAAGATACGTATTAGTGGCCAAAGCTATTAACAGAAAGAGGCCATCTTATAGAGATTTTGTTGATTTTCAAGAAAGCGGAGAACATTTTATGTACAGTATATATAGTGCATGCATTCACCTTGTATATGTGTAATCATTTTAGTTTTAATTTACTTTATTGTCATTGCACCTCATACAATGAAATTAAATGCCATCTTCAGTGTACATTATTACAAAAATAAAACACAAACACACCCTTCGCATTCTATACAATTGAATTGAAAATCCCTGATATTGCATTAATATTGCACTATACAGTAGAATTCAATATATATTTGAGATGTGTAATTGTTTTCTGTTTACTTGTTCTTTAGGGAATTTCTTGGAAAGAATGTCACTGAGCCAACAAAGAAAAGGTAAAAAAATAAGTATTTTGGAGTTATGTTTTCTGTTTTCCATATTTCAAATTGGAACTTAATTATGAGAAATTTTAAACAAGCAAAACACATAATAGTTAACCTTAATAAAAATTAAGATGAGAATATTGTAGGAAAATGTGTAAATTTTCTCTAATGTTCAATAATAAATACCTTGTGTATTAAACTAACCACATGGACATTCTGTGGTAGGCTCTGATTATTATGACCCAAGTCTTATAAAGCATATATCACTCTCCTTGTGACTATATACTATATAAGTCATCTTAGAGCAGTGGTCTTCAACCTTTATGGCTTGGCAGCCTGGTGGGGGCTAGAGGGGATTGTTCTGTGTGAGTGGCAGGCATGAATGTGAGTGCCTGCCACTTGCACAAACGAAGCTGTGCTTAGTAAGACCACACCTAGAGTACTGCATCCAATTTTGGTCACCACATTATAAAAAAGATGTTGAGACTCTAGAAAAATAACAGAGAAGAGCAACCAGGATGATTAGGGGACTAGAGAAGAACAGTTACAGGAACTGGGCAGGGTTAATCTAGTGAAGAGAAGGACCAGGGGAGACATGATAGCAGTCTTCCAATATTTGAGGGGCTGCCACAGGGAGGAAGGGGTCAAGCTATTTTCTAAAATGCCTGTAGGCCAGACAAGGAATAATGGGTGGAAACTGAACAAGAAGAGATTTAACCTGGAAATAAGGAGAAACTTTCTGACGGTGAGAACAATCAACCAATGGAACAGCTTGCCCTCGGAAGTTGTGGGAGCGTCATCACTTGAGACCTTCAAGAAGAGATTGGACTGCCATTTGTCAGAAATGGTGTAGGGTCTCCCGCTTGGGCGGGTGTGTGTGTGGACTAGATGACCTACAAGGTCCCTTCCAACTCTGATTATCTGTATTAAATGCATTTGCCCGTCACTCAACACGGCCCATTTCCAGACAGGCCAAGGGTCAGCAGTGGGCCATGGCCTGGGGGTTGGGACCCCTGTGTTAGATATTTAGGTTTATATATAATACAGAATTAAATTGTTTGGATGACAAGATTGAAATGAATCAAGCTATTAGCTGTCAAATGGAAATGCTATTGCAAAATGATCTGCTGGTAATGTAGTGGAATAAAAATCAATGGGCAGGATCCATAAATGGTGCATCTTAATAGAAGGACAAAACCAGGTCAAACAGTGTTGAAATAGGGTGGGTAGACTGTAGGAAAGCCATTGGTTACTGTGATAGGGCCTCATGTGCCTAGTCTGGCACCCCAAAAACCTTTTACAAACACTTGGAAGTTTTTGTTTTGAAATTAAAAGTAGAGTGGGAGTAGAGTGTTTCCATGAAGCCTTCTGCTTCCATTCCCACCTTTAAAGCCTTCCAACTCTTCTAAAAAGTAGAAGGGAAAAGTGCTTCCTCTAGTGAGGTTACCGTTTGAGTGGATGACTTTCAGTGGCCTTTTTAGAATGTATATTACTGCTTCTAGCCCAGGAGTCTGCAACCTGCGGCTCTGGAGCCATATGCAGCTCTTTCAGCCTTCTGCTGCGGCTCCCTGTCAGCTGATCCCACAACTGGCTGGCCCCTCCCCTCCCGTCCCTCCTCACCTAACCTGATGGAGACTTGTTCCATATTCCAGAGCAGGAGGTGATTGGTTGGGAATAAGTGACATCAAGTTGGCCATGCCCACCCTGTCACACCGATTGTTAAATTATTGTTCTAGCCTCTTAAATGATGCCCACCCCTATATTATAGTAATTTGTACAGGGAAGTAATTCATCAGATTGGCAATGTACCAGCCACAGATGTAATGGCACCTGCAACCTGCCAGGTGTATATGGTCAATCAACCACATGATCTTAATAATTAAATGCCCAACATTTTACAAAACCAAAGAGAAGAATATTGTATTAGTATGTATATGAATAGCATATTCACAAAAATATGTGCTTTTTTATGCCTGCTTATTTTCATTGATATGTTCCAAATTAAAGAGGCTGTAGATAGTTTCCCAGTTCATCCCTAGTTTAAGTATTTGATTAAACTGGGTGATATATTTAAGCTGTATATAACTTGAAGTCTTACTTGAGAAATCTTTTTTTAAATGATGCCATATATACAAGATTGACGTGGTTAGCTTTTCAGATTTTGTTTGATCAAACATCTGTCATACATAAATAACGAGCTATGCAATTTTAATCCTAAATGTAAGTCTGGCTTTGATCGTCTCTTGATCCTAGTGAAAAACAACTGGAGTGTTTATTGACGCATTGCATCAAAGTGCCAATGCTTGTCTTGGACCCCGCTTTGCCAAACAACGTTACTCTTAAGGACCTGCCATCTGTCTATCCTCTGCTGCGATCTGCCAACAATATATTCTCTGTTGCAAAGCCAAAAAATCCTTCCACCAACGTGACGGTTGTTGTTTTTGACACTGCTAAAGAAGGTATGGATCTTCTTTCATCTTCTGCTGCTTGAATATGCATGGTTTCAATTTACCACTGGGCTGTTCTCATTGGTTTTCTTTTCATTAGAACCTTTTGTAAAGAATTCCACTCCTTCTCCCCTTGTTGCCATGATTTAAGAAAATAATTGGATAAATGTACGAGCAGAAAACAATGTGTCTGAAAAAAACAATATTTTAATCTTGTTCTATATGCAAATCTATCTATCTATCTATCTATCTATCTATCTATCTATCTATCTATC